CTCAAAGTCACACCATTAAATGGCTGCACGCCGCCAAAATAAAGAACGCATCAAGTCAACAAGGCAAATCGCGGGGTCACACCCTTTTCGCAAAAGCAACCGCAGAGGGAATCTTGTGTCCGCATTCCCACCGTTCAGTCTTCTCCACAGCGTGAGCGGCATGTCGTGTGTATATGTGTATGTACTTGTTTGTTTGTCAGCGCCTATACTTGCAGAGCAGCTGTGCACCACAAGAGAGTCTGAAGAAAGCAACGGCAGAGAGAGGCAGATAGCACACACGCAAATTACTCATATCATCACACACACACATACACGCAGCCGCCGAATGGGTGCACTCAACCACAAAATCAAAAAGAAAAACAATAAAATCAAAAAGCCGAAGCGTGGGACGACCAGCGCACACACACCCTCATTACTCCCGTAAAGCAAAGCACACACACAGAGGGAGAGAGAGAGAGGTCGCCCACTCAATGCAATAAAAACAAAACAGAAACAGTTACGGTGCTCCGCCCATGCAGCCAGGCAGGACGGCAGCGGTGCGTGTCGTGCAAAAGAGAGCACCAACGGGCCTGCATGGGTGTGCATGCATATATACAATGGGCACATTATGTGTGTGCCTCGTGGGGTGAGGTGAGGGCGAGAGTCCATGCAAGGGGACACACACACAGAGAGAGAAGGACGAGTGTGTGTGCGGGCGGTGCACGGCTCTCTCTCCCTCACTCTCACGCGGCCACCACCGCAGCAGCAGCCGCACACGCAACAACAAGAAGAAGAAGCAAAAGAGGGGAGGTGGTGTGGGAGACCGCGGTGCTGCCGTCATTGTCGCCAGGCATCGTGTTTGGTTGATTAGTGGCGTTTGCACCAGTTTTGGTTTCTTGTTCTTTGCCTGGAGGATTCTCTTGATTTTGTTCCTCTCGCTCCTTTTCTGTTTCATCATTCTTTTCTTCCCCTTCTTCTTCTTCATTGGAACCATCATTGCCTTTGTGTTGTCCCGAAGAATAATCTCCTGCAGGATTAATTGGTGTTTTTGCTTCAACATTTGTTTGTTGTTCTTTTCCCTGCGTCACTTGATGTCCTTCTCCATTTATTGTATCCTCTTCTTGGACTGGAGTTTGGTGATTATTCGGCTTTAGTCCACTTCCTTCTTTTTCTTTTTTTGGTTGCTTGCACTTGGGCATTTGGTTCTGTTTCTTTTTCTGACTGGTTTTGTGTTCCACTTTTGACTTGGCGTTGTTTTTCAGGTTTTGGTTCACTTTCATTTATAATTTTCATTTTTCCATCAGCGGCTTGTGACTTTCCTCCTCCTCCTTCAGGTAGTGGTGTTGGTGGTATTTCTTCCCCATCCGCATCCTCATCCTCATCTTCTGCTTGCCCTTCTGCTCTGATTGGGCTTTCAGGTGGTGATGTGACCACACTTTGCTGGTTGGTGCTGTTTCCTGTTTGTGCACCCAACGATGCTTTTGCGTTTTCGGGACCTCCCTTGACTGAAACTGGCATTGCCTGCAGTCCAGCACTACCGACACCAGCATCAGGTCCTGAACCCCCGGAATTTTCATCCTTTTTCTTTTCGGCATCTTTCCCACCATTGGCCGACGCGGCACCGCACCACAGCACGCAGAGGGCACACACCAGCAGCACACGGCCAGTCATCATCGCCATCACTCCTGTCACTTGCGTGCAGCCTCCAGCTCAAACTAACAACCCGTCAACGCAGAGTCAAAGCAAAAGGAGAGACAAGTCACACAGCCACGCACAGTAACAAAAGGCAGCAGTCCAGCAACGCACACACAACATATGACAGAGGGAATCAGTAAGGGCAAGAAAAAGTTCACCACCCTGCATATCAGAATGTATTAAAAACAAAAACAAACTCAAGGCCTCGCTGAGCATGCATATGAGTGTGTCTGAGACACTTTCAATGTGGCGGATGTGGGAAGCAACGCGGAGCACACAGCAGGGCAGCGGAAGCAAACAAAGCAAAAAACAATCATCATAATTACTCTTACTTCATACATCGGACCACAGTAGACGCGTACACATGTCCCCGTGGCTGAGTGCTGGCACGCACAGCCCACGCTCCCTTTCAGCCCACAGCGGTGTACGCCAGCGCGGATACTGCGAGCAGCAGCGGGGCACGCACCCACGCAGAGCTGCTGAGGCTGCCGTCGATTTCGCGGAGATGTGGCGGTGCGCGGGTGGTCGTCGTTGTCTTATTTGGCATTTTTGTCTTCTGACGTGATGTCTTTGCCGTATGATTCTCAGCACCTTGTGGATATTCCTCCGCCTATTTATTTTGTGCATCTGACTTACCGGTCGCACCTTATGTGTGTCGACACTGCGTCGCCAAACCTGGTGACTCTGGATTATCGTTAGAAAAACGTAGTGGCTGTGGCGGAACTGGTGTGTGTCCAGTAATGGCAGTATCTGCTTCCTTTGGCAAAGAAGGTACTTGACTTCTCAAACCTTCCTCACAGTTTCTCCCACTCTCTGTCTGTAACGAATCAAGCGCATTTCCTGTAAAATCTGGTTTCCCTAACATATGGTTTAGATGACTTCTGTCATCATTATTATCGCCTCCTCACGCCGTCACGCACACGGAATTGCAGCAGCAGCACAATAGCGCAAGGACCAACACGGCGCACACCACACGAAGCCGCACCGTCACCATCGTCACCATCGCAGTCACAATCACCCGTAGTGGAGTCGCTGGTGTCAGTGAGCTGATCGGTGGTACAGAAGGAAAAGGAATGGAACAGGAGGGAGAGGGACGAGGCACAGCGGATACAGCGAGTGAGAGCAGACAACATGAGGAGAGGGCAGCAGGCCCAGCCGCACAGTTCACACACCACGAGGCGGTATCCACGCAAGGAAGGCACACAACGCCAGCAGCCACCCACCATGCAGGAGGAGAAGACATCCACCACCATCTCCCCCAGCTCATCGCCACAGCCCCAGGGAAACGGCAAAAACACCGCGGCCACCACACAACGCACACGGAGCAAGCGAACCCTCATCCATCCATGACGCGGCACCAAAATTTCCAGCCATCCCGCCCTCAATGGGACACGGAGCCCAACTCAACGCAGTCACACGCGGTGCACCACACCCGCAGGAAAAGAGACTCGGGGTGCGCACTCCCTCTCCTCCCCTTCTCCTCATGGCCACGGAGGAAGACAACAGCCGCCACACGCAACTGCCAGCATGCACCACAAAAGGAGCATTCATATCCACTGCAATGTGCATCTTGTGTGTGTGTGTGTGTGCCTGCAGACACACAAAGCAAAGAAGCAGAAAAGAGGGAGCAGAGTATGTGGAGGGACGCACAAAAATGTACAGCAGAGATGCATGGCGGAAACAACAAGAAGAGGACCGCTCAAACTCATGACTGCACTGCAGCCCAAGCAGCGGCAATCCACACAAGATTTATTAAAAAAAAACAAAAAAACCATTCCCTTCGTCTTATACAAACCCCATCACACAAAATAATTATAAATAAAAAAGAAATCGTCCATTACTGTTCCACACAAATTTAAAAATCGCCTGGCTGCCGTGTGGCCACACCAAACTGTCCGTATGTATTTTGCCCGAAAAGAAAATTAAAAAGATGGTTGCGTGTGTTTCAACCGTCCGACCCTCCATGTGTCCGCACATCGTTTATATTTCATGGGGTCATCCGCGTGTTGCTGCTCCCCTCAGCCCTCTCATCGGCGTGCGAGTGCGGCCCGCAGAGCACAGTCACTCGTGTGTGGGGACTGAGAGAAGCACGCAGACATGACGGGAGTCGCGTCTCTCCATCGAGAGTGAGCGCAGCAAAAGAAAAAAATCATCAGGAGGGAGAGAAATGCTGACGGGACTGCCAGCGCGTGAAATGAAAACAAAAAAAAGAAAAAAAAAGAAAAACACGGCGGCAGGGTGTGGCTGTGTGTGTGGTGCTGCGGGTGTCTGCCAGCCCTGGCCGCAAGAAAACAAAACAAGAGGGAAGAAATGTGTGCGCCGCCCCACCGGCCCTCGTCGCACGCCCACACGTCACGGCTCCCTCAGCGCGCCGTTCGTCGCGGCCCCTCCTCATGCGTGCAGCAGGCGAGGCGCACAGGGCCGTCGTCGTGAGCGTGTCGGTGGTGTGCGAGTGGAGCAGTTGGGCGGGAAACACACGGCACCCCTCGCAGGAAGAGTGCAGCAACAAACAATTAAAGAGGGAAGAGTAGGAAAGAAAAAACGTCCACAGTGATTGCCCCCAAAAGCCAAAAAGCAAAGAAGAATTGGGAATTGGGAAGTAAAAGATAAAGAAAAAAAAACACAAAATAATTTAGAAATAAAAAGAAGTAAAAGAAAAAAAAAGAAAAGGTTTAAAACGCACAAGAAAGAAAAAGCAAATTATCTTAAGGATAAATTAGTTATCGGGGAAGTAATTCTGTGCGGGGGAGGTCGCAAGTGTCCCACGCGGCAGCCAGTCACTCCTCACAGAGCTGCAAACCCCCACAGTCCCAACAGAAGCAGCAGCGATGGCAGCAGTCTGCTCTCACGCACGGTGCCGGCATCACTGTTATTCCCCTGCGACACATTTCCGAGGCCGCTGCTGAGTGCCGCAGCATTTACGTCCCTGTCCTGCGTATTAACCTCCTCCTCCTGCCCATCCATTCCTCCCGCCATCTCCCCGTTTGCAATACTGCTCTCCAATAACGGTTCCTTTCCCGCCTGCTGTTGTCGTCCAGCAGTAGACGAGGACACGGTTCCTTCAATAGTCGTGTTCACCAGAAATGGAATGGAGGCTTTATTCGGGTTGTAAGCGTCAATCTCAGTGCTATCCAACGGACGGTTGTACAGCAGGACGTTCTTCACAGTCACAGACACGTCTTCTTGTTTCCGTGTCTTGTCTCCATCCCCTCCAATGTAGAAGTGCGAGATCTCTTTTGAATCCGTATTTTTCAATCCACATGGTGCATTCCCACCCACACGCTGACCATCGACGTACGCGGAGCCCTGGTTGCCGTTCCGTAGCAAAATTACCACGTGGTCTTCCTTCGTTGTCTCCGGATCCCAATCGCGGCTATGCTCCTTGTTCTGTCCGCCACCGCACAGAAACCGCCACTTCTTTTCCTTGTCGTACGACAGTCCCAACAATATAGGATACCCATCGCCATCCATCTTCACACCCAACAATGGAATATTACCCTCCTTCGGCACACCGTCGATGGACACCGTCGCCACAAGAGTGAAGTTGTAGTTCGCAAAGTGGTACGGCACATTCTCCCCTTGCTTGCCAACGGGCCACTCCGCCCCTGCGCTACGCCCCGTGAACCTCACGCCCTTATCCGCCTTCTTCGCCCCACCATCATTATTTACTGTGGCGTCCACCCCGAGGTACTCGTCACTCCACGTGCTCTCAGAGAAGTTGCCGGACAAAAAGCCAACCAGCCCATCCGTGATCTTACCAGCGCTGCAGGCAGTTTCACTTAAACGATCCTTCCCAGCAAGTAAGGTGGAACACATCTGGGAGACACGTTCGTCCACTTTCTTCCACGTCTTCAGCACCTCCTTCACCTTCTCCAGCTGCGCAGTCAGACGCACCGAGACCATATCGTGTGATGGTGTCTCCCCATTGCCCTTCTTCTCGTACAGTGCAATCAACTCCTCCTTCTTATCTCCATTTCCACCACTTTTGTACAACAGGGAGCTGGCGGTGACATCCGCCTCTTCCTTCCCGGATACCGGCCCAATATCAACAATGTGCGTGTTGTCCGTCAGCCAAAGATGGAGTACGCCATTTCCATTGTCTTTGTTATCTTTCCTGGCATACACCGGCAGAGTAACGAGCATCACATCCCTGTCCTCAATCCTCGCTGTGGTGAACCCGCTCCCAACGCCCTTCTCAGGTCCCGTGTGTTTGTTGCCCCACACGCGCGAGAGTGTCCCGAGTGCCTCCGCCCACGAATCCCCCTTGTCACCGGACTCGTACACCCTGCGGCGGCCATCATCACACGCAGTCATCATCATGAGTTTGTCCTTCTCCCACTCCACGACGGAGGGATCGCTGCAGCCATCGGCAGACATCCCCTTCGACAGTGTCCAACTCTTAGCATCCTTCGAGTATATGATCAGCGAGACAGCCTTTCCATCCTCCTCAGCGCCATCCTCGTTCGCCTTCATGCCTTCCACAGGGAACACAAGCGTGTCGTCATTCATCTTAACGCCCGATCCACCGCCTCCAATCAATGCTTTCAAAGATTCTTTTCGTTGAGTATTAGAAGTGCTCGGGAGAGCGTCAACATCAGTCAAATAAATTCTTTTGTTTCGGGCATCATCCCCATCAACACTAACGTTCCCTCTCGCCAGCAAAAGTCCCCAATGATCATCAAAATCAGTTGTACCTTCACGCATGTAGATTCCAGCAAGCATGTAAATAGCACTTCCCTGCACAACTGTGGTTGGTCGGGCCACAATTCCTCCAAATTTACTTTGGGAATCAGCCCCAGCAGCTTTTTGGGAGGCACAAGCTGCTTCTTCGGAAGGACATTCCTCCAGTACCTGAGTCTTCAGTTTATTTTTATCCAACTCCTCTTTTGATGACTCATCAGTCCACTTCAGAAGCTTCGAGGCAATCCCAGTGGCACCGCCTTTACCTTCCTCCTTGCACTGCGCCTCAGCTACGGCAAACACATCACCGTTCATCTCAACAAGACTCGGAACGCGGAGCGAACCCACCGTTTCTTTATCACTCTTATCTCTCCAAGCAAAATATGTTCCCTTTGCATTTCTCGAACCTGGCGCCGTCACAACAGCAGTCGCATACCCTCCTGTGCCGCAGCAAATCATCACAACGAGGAAAAGCGGCACCACGGAATAGAAAACATGCCGGGACATGTTGGGCCTCTGCGGCTCACTCTCTCTCCCTTCCCTCCTTCCGCTGGATCCGGTCACGCCGCGACGGTTGTGTGTGCGGGGTGCCTTCACTGCAGCAACACGTGAGAGCATATAAATATGTGTGTGTGTGCGGTGTGTGTGCTGTTGGTCCTTTCAGTGCCTTCGAATTTCACAGTAGCGATTAGCGCTTGTTTGCTTTCTTCGTGTGTGATTGAGAAAGAAATAGGGAGAAACATGCCAAGAAAAGAGGATGAAACAGTGAGCACCGCCACCCATCCACAGTGAGTGGCATCATCATCCGCACCGCAGCCACTCCCAACAACAACAACTCACGCACACAGACACACGGAACAGGAGATGGAAGAACAGTGCACCGGGAACACACAGCGACGGTCACCACCAGCAGCAGGAGCCACGGCGGGTGCTTCTTTATTCGTCACGCGTCGGCACACTAAGCAACGCCCACACAAAAAACAACCAGCGAAATGCAAAAGGGCACAAGTGCCCTTCACAGCACCCACGCGCTGCCGCCAGTCGTATTGCTCTTGTCTCCTCCAGCTCTCCCGCTTTTTCGTCGCACACAGCCGGAGGAGTCTTCGCCGAAGGATCCACAACGGCAGAGACACATCGGCAGGTGCAGCTGTTGGAAGAGAGTCAATAGACACTCACCCCAGACACCCTCAAAGTCACACCATTAAATGGCTGCACGCCGCCAAAATAAAGAACGCATCAAGTCAACAAGGCAAATCGCGGGGTCACACCTTTTCGCAAAAGCAACCGCAGAGAGAATCTTGTGTCCGCATTCCCACCGTTCAGTCTTCTCCACAGCGTGAGCGGCATGTCGTGTGTATATGTGTATGTACTTGTTTGTTTGTCAGCGCCTATACTTGCAGAGCAGCTGTGCACCACAAGAGAGTCTGAAGAAAGCAACGGCAGAGAGAGGCAGATAGCACACACGCAAATTACTCATATCATCACACACACACACACACATACACGCAGCCGCCGAATGGGTGCACTCAACCACAAAATCAAAAAGAAAAACAATAAAAACAAAAAGCCGAAGCGTGGGACGACCAGCGCACACACACTCTCATTGCTCCCGTAAAGCAAAACACACACACAGAGGGAGAGAGAGAGAGGTCGCCCACTCAATGCAACAAAAACAAAACAGAAACAGTTACGGTGCTCCGCCCACGCAGCCAGGCAGGACGGCAGCGGTGCGTGTCGTGCAAAAGAGAGCACCAACGGGCCTGCATGGGTGTGCATGCATATATACAATGGGCACATTATTGTGTGTGCCTCGTGGGGTGAGGTGAGGGCGAGAGTCCATGCAAGGGGACACACACAGAGAGAGAAGGACGCGTGTGTGTGCGGGCGGTGCACGGCTCTCTCTCCCTCACACTCACGCGGCCACCACCGCAGCAGCAGCCGCACACGCAACAACAAGAAGAAGCAAAAGAGGGGAGGTGGTGTGGGAGACCGCGGTGCTGCTGTCACTCTCAACGTCTGCGGTTTCCTTGCCCTCCGTTGCACTCTTAGGGTTAGTTGTTGGAGCATTCTTCTCTCCTGTGAAGGTTACGGTGCCGTTTTTGTTTGGGTGGCTTACATCATGAGTGGTCGGTTTGGCCGTTGTAATAGTTTCAGGTTCTGCAGCTGAAGGACTTGGAGTGGGACTCTCACCGTCGCCCGATCCCTCATTTTTTTCCATCGGTATTGTTAAGGGATGCAATTGGGGATCCTACACGGGCAGTGTTGGCAGTCGCCTCACTGGTTGCCGCGTCGTCAATAGAGGGACTGCTAGCATCCTCCGACGCCAGAGTGTCAATACCGCCAGCATCGGGCTTCAGAGCTTGATCAGTTGGGTTTTTGGTTTCACTGCCTTCATTTGGGTTCCGTGTGGCACGTGAATGTTCGGGAGTTTCTTCAGCTGTCAGTTCCTCTTTTGAGTTCACTGTTTTATTCGCTGTCGGCACTGTTGGCGGTGATGGCTGTGCTTTTGGTGCCGCAGGAGCGTCTGGTAATTGTGTGTCAATACCATCAATTGCTTTTGGATTTTTATGATTTTGATTTATATTTGGGTCTGACAGGTCTGTGTCCGTCCCTTTCAAATGAGTGGCAACGGTTTCCTGACTATCCAATAGAACCTCCCCATCGGTAGTCAAGGGTTTGACAGTAGAACCATCATTCTTCTCTTTACACATAGATTTATCGGGTGGTGCTTGATCAAAGCTTCCTCCATCTGACACGTCTCGTTCACTGGGATGAGAATCACCCTCAGACGCAGTTTTCATTGTCCTTGTTTTATCCGTTTTCACTCTGTTTTCCCCAGAGACGCCTGACCCCGTCCTAGAATTGCCAATACCAGACCGAGAAAGGGAAGCTGACTCCTCTTCCGTACATCTACAGTAGGCACTACACCACAGCACGCAGAGGGCACACACCAGCAGCACACGGCCAGTCATCATCGCCATCACTCCTGTCACTTGCGTGCAGCCTTCAGCACAAACCAACTCCCCGTCAACGCAGAGTCAAAGGAGAGACAAGTCACACAGCCACGCACCGTCCCATCCAGCAATGAGAGTCACGCACCACAACAACAACAATGAGGTGGGCGCGGTTAACAACAATAATAATAGGAGAGGAGCGCTCCTCGACGTGCACCGTTCCTCACACTCCCACAGTCGCTGTTGCTGTTATTCCCTCTCCTCAGGCCCTCACAGACACGCCACGCTCACCTCAACACGCGCCCCTCCAGCACAGGCCTCAGGATCGTCGGGCCCTCCCACCACATGCAGCCGTCATGCGCTTCCGCTGCGCAACAATGTCGTGCCGCCTCTCCTCCACAATCATGAGCGCTACGTCCAACGCGTACTGGCGCACGTGCTCCATGCGCTGCAAACACACGGCCGATCAGGTTGGCCGTCATGCGCCGCATCTTGTCGTCCTCCGTGTACTTGAAGTAAACCCTCACATCCTCTCAATCCACGGCTTGGGTGCTGCGAGAGGCTGCCGAGAGGTTTCACCTTTGAGTGGAATTCCCAAATGTGCGGAAACAACGGCCACCCTCACTCCATCACACATCTCCACAACCTTCACTGTCCCGCACACGCACAAGGGCGGTGTCATGGGGAAGAAAAGCCCGCCGCACAGCGCATGCACGAGGACACATGCAATAGCAACGCCATCCAAGTCGCACCGCGAGACAGTGCCATGCGCACAGCACACGGCGGCAAAGAGGGAAAGGGCGCATCCAACTCCACGGCGCTCTCCTTCACTTCTCCCTTCCCCGACGGATTGGCACCCACACTCACAGTGAGGCACGGCGCACACAGTCCGCTCTCCTCCGAGTGCACTCAGCAGGCCGGCGCCCAGTCACCACAGTGCCATCGCAATGGGGAACACAAACAATCGTCGTCGCGGACTATCAGTGCCTCTAGCAGAAAAGAAAAAGCATGTCAGCAGCACAGCCAGCAAAGAAACACTCAACGGGACACGTAAGCACTCAGCGGCAGTGAACATTGTAAAGGAAAAAAAACAAAAAAGAATGGGTGGGAGTCCGGAATGACCCACAAAAGCAAAAGAAAAATTAATAGAAAATTGATGCGGCAGGTCTTTTATTTCATGTGCCGAGCAGCACAAATAAACCGTGTTTATATACATATTGCCCGCACCAAAAAGAAAAAAAAGAAAATTGAAGCAAAAAGAAAAAAGATCGCATTATTCCACCAGCCCACACAACATCCCCAACACTTCATGCGGCATCCGGCCTGTTCTTCCAATCCTCCTTTAGTGCAGTCCGTGGGACTCCACAGCCGCAGGGCGGCAACGCGTGTGGTCAAAAACAAACAAAAAGGGGGAATGGCATCACTGATGACGGATTGTAGCAAGCGACCATTAAAAAAAGAAAAACACAGGGGCGCGGATTATTCCAATAGAACACCAGCAGCAAAAAAAAAGGGAAAAAAAGAAAAACTTTTTTTTGAAGAAAGTAAGTAAAAAAAAAAAAGAAAAAAAAAGAAGTTTCCTTGACAAATTCAGTGCGTTGTGCTGGGAAGCTGCACATTTGTTGTTCCACGGGACGCCGCAATTCCACCCACCCTCACACCTCAGCAGAGAGCCACAGTGCCCCACAGCCCCAGAAGCAGCAGCAATAATAGCACCCGAGACACACAACCCTGCACGGTGCTGTCACCCTTCACACCCACACAAAACAAGTCGGTGATATTCTCCACATCAAAAAGGTCATTGCCCAAGAGCGGCGCTGCGTTGGACTCCGATTGGATATCTCTTTCCCCAGGCTCTGTGCTCGGATGATTCGGTGCAGCACCAACGTAATCCGGCACGTCATCTTCGCGTTGAACAGTTGTTGGATCGCTGTTGGGCTCAATGGTGGCTGTTGTAACATCCGCAGTCGTCACTTCAGTGGTGTTGGATGAGTCGGGGCCGCTGTTCGTGCCCACGGCAGCATGGGAGTGCACCTCCTCTTCGCGGTCGCCGCGTTGATTGCTGGTGGACGTGGAGAGAGAAGACGGCTCGTCGTCCACGCCCTCTGAAACAAGAGGTAAAGTGGTTTGCTGCGCCGGATCGTCAGAGGTTTGACTCTGCAGAATGGCCTCATCCGTTTCACTCGTCTCATCCACCGTCGATC